TTCTAGAGTTTTGCTTTTCTGCTGGAACCAGGTCAATGTGCACTTCACCTGGAAGATTTCCTGGTGTCTGTGTAAGTATTGCTTCCTCCTAGAAGCTTTCCTTGACTCTTCTTTTAATTTTTAAATTTTTGATACAGGGTCTTGCTATGCAGCTTGGACTCACAGCTTGGATTCACAACTCAGGTTCATAGTGATCCTCCTGTCTCAGCCTCCCCAGCATGGGAATTACGGGCGTGGACCACCATGCCCCATCCTGGGGCCAGCACAGCATGCCTGGGGTTCTGGGATGGCACAACATGTGGTACCAGGGATCGAACCTGGTTCCTTGTGCTTGCCAGGGAGGTGCTTAGACAGCTGAGCTATCTCCCTAGCCAACTTTGACTCTTCTTGTTCACTCCCATAAAATCACAAACTTGTATATTCACTTCCCATTTGCTTCTCTATCTTCTTCATTTGATCATATGAGGTCCTTAGGTCAGCGGCTCTGTCTTCCTAATGAGTACTCACCTTTTAATATAACACTTTAATATAGTGCTCTGTAAGGTTAGAGGCATATAGTATAGCTATAGATATGAATTGCATGGAAGGTAGGGCATGGCTTGGGAGCCACAGCCCTGCTGCCTTATAAATGGCCGAGAGAACAGGCAACATCTAAGAAATAGGGCATCGCGGAAGCCAGGGAATAGAGTTTGGAGTCAGATGGACTTAGATTCAAATTACAGCTCTGGTTCTTGTTACATATAAACATGGTGGTGTTTAATAAACTCTCAGCGTCTTACTCTCCTCATCTGTAAGATGTAGACAATGGTCTCTATCTTGCAGTATAACTATATGTTACTTTAACTGTCTGGCATTTTATAGGTGCTTATTTCTTACTTAAAAATAATATAACAGGGGCCGGGGAGATGGCTCAGTGGAATAAGCACTTGCCTGGCAAGCGCAAGGGCCTGAGTTCAATCCCCGGTTCCACCAAAAACAAACAAACAAACAAAATAATATAACAATAATGACATAGACAAGTTCACTTGTGTTCAAATAGACACAGTTCACTTGATACTTATTACAGGTGCAACAGGTGGCAAGGTGTCTTCTTTCCTTAAAAAATAATTTGGAGAAAAACATGAAATTTTGAAAGGTGCATCATTATAGAAGTCTTAGTAAAATTACAAATTTACATTCTTTAGGAAGTACAAAAATTCACTCAGGTGATTTG